GGAGGCTGGTTAGATTTCTAGTCTACTTATCCCACCGGGAGTCAGCCAGTGAACCTGGGGGACTCTTTCCTTCTCTTTTACTCTACAGGTAACCCCCTAGAGACAAGCGAATTTTCCCCCCTGTATTTGTTGACATGTTATCAATCAGCAATTAGTAATGAGGGGAATCTGACTAGAGACTCAGTGGAATTAGGACCTTCCCACATTGGGTGGCTCGTGGTATTTTTAATGGCACACACATCATCACACATACTCACCACAGAACCTTAGTAACATTAATCCCGAGTTGTTTCTTTCTTCATGATTATGCTTCCAACATCGAAGTGGGTTTTTATTCCCCCGATACTTTAGTTACCGTATTTTGACACACAGATAAATACTGCTCCAAATGCTTTCCCAAGAAAACATGTAGTAGTTTCATCATAGGCTTAAGGAAACTATAATTTAGCCAGTCCTGACATTTAGAAAGCTGCCCCATCTTTTGACAGATGATCTACTAAGTGATGTTTCTCTTTTTTTGTTTTTTGTTTTTTGAGGTGATGTTTCCACTGGCTGGTTTTTTGGGGGTTCTTTTCCCTGCTAACCGTCACGCCACTCTGACGGGCAGTCACCAGTTCTGTTCACTCTCAAGGTTAATGAGACATCAACAGGCACATCAGATGTCTTTTCAACTGGACTGTTTCTCTCCTATTTGATTTTGATCTGTTCAGGACAGAAAACCATATTAGAAGAGAAAGTTGGGACTGGCGAGCCAGGGAGGCTGGCTTTGCCTTCATATCTAAAGGGCAACTTTAAAGGACGGCGATCTTGTGAGTGAATTGTTTTAAGAAATGGGATGTTTTTTCGTGTTCTAGGTTTCTGGGGAAGATCAAAACCAAGTGGCATAGTGGTCAGAACTCACTTGTAGCTGATGGGTCTCTGGTGAAAATGAATTCACAGAGCTTATGAAAACCCAGACTCATGAAACTGAGGGAACTGCCTTCAATTTTATATATCCATCTTTTTCTTCTTATATCCAACGCCTGTATTTGGTAGGTATGGAGCTGGGGGACAGAAAAATGGACCCTCGGTAGCCATGGTACTGTAAAGTGTGGGAACAAGCACTTACTTTTTTCCTCTTTTTTTCTATTAGAGACATGAAAGATTTGTCCTTTACACAAGATGTTAGGAGTGAAAGAGTCACTGTTTCTGCCCTTACTGGTGTTATTCTGATACTTTGTTGTTGGCATCAAGGGTAGCACTGACAGTTAACATTGTACACAACACCAGCCAGCCCCTGCCTGTTTTATAACAGCGCACTGGAAGTAAAGTGGACAAAGCATAACCAGGGTTTGAGGCTTTCTCGTGCCCCACGACAAAAGTGAAGGAAGTTAACTTGCAGGGCTGTGTCACTCACTCCTGGTGCCCTGGGGTTGTACCTACTCAATGAAGGCGATCCTTCTTGCAATATTAGTCCAGCTACTTTCTGATCAAAAATAGACTGGGAAGGGATGATGACAAAAGATGAAAATCCAGGTTGTTTTTTTCAAAAACATAATTGAGAGTATCACAGAAAAAAATAATCCACCTTTGACAACCCCAGCTGATCTGCTTTGGAGGAGCTTTCTCAAATTCATGCAAGCGACATGACTGCCATACTCTGACCTCTGCAGCGTTAGAATCTGACCACAAACTATGAGACAGGTGACTCTCCCTAGCAATGGTTTCCTCTGAAGCCTACAGGGCAAAGATGTAATTTTGGGTGAAAGTAGGTGGGACCTGATGGTACTGGCAAAGGATCAACCATTAATTTCTGAACCCCTTTAAATACATGTTGATCTTCAAAAGTCTTCATTTCACTAGAATATTAAATTTAACTCATTACTATATTTTAACAAAAATCCATGATGTTCATCTCAGAGCGAATTTCAGAGTAGTGCCTCCTGAGCTTTTATGGATATGTTTCTTCCTGATCACCTAAAGTGAAGTGTAAGCAGGTCTTAGTTGATAACTGATCTGGCTGTGACCGAGTCAATACTTGATTTGTTCCATCTGTGTAAAGAACCAATTTAGCCCATTCCTTATAATAATGATATCACCTTTATAACAGCTTATAAGTTATAAGCACATAGTATGTTTAAATACATCAAACACCTAAGGGTAGGCAGGAGAAATGGTGTGATTCCATTTTACCGATGAGAAAACTGCGCCTTAGAAATTAACCGAATTATCTATGGAAAAAAAGACAAGGACAGAGCCAGGACTGTGACCCAGGGCTTTGACTCCCCGCCCAGTGCTCTTTTCACTATCATTTACTGCCTCCCATATGATAAACTACTTGAATGATTTTAAATGTACATTTTTGGTATCCAAATGAGGTATATTCAACCAAAGTCTCATCCCCACCGTATACCGTTGTTCTAACAGTGGCAGTTGGATCATAAGGACATTCTCTCGACTGATGCTGCCTAATGTCAATGGAAATCCACTTACACAAACTCTACATGCCCAAAGTAAAGCATAAGATACTTGTAATTAGCAATATACAAAGACAGAAGGATAGACTATTTTACCGGAAAAAAACCTCTGGATGATTGAATGCAGCGATTTCCTGTCTCAGTGCTGTTCACTGGCCAGGTCCAGGTGAATTCAACTCCAGTGCCTCACTCACACAGTCCCTGGCACATAGTAGGCCTTCAGTAAATATCTGTCCAAGGGACGTGCCCTAGTTTGCTCAGACATTTACGTGATGGGCAAAGAAAATTCCACAGAAACTACTCTGAAATGTATTTTCAAAATGACATTTTTATGTGTACAACTTTATAGGCAGATTCTAAGGCTTCTCTTTATCCAAGATACCGTTCTCCCTTTCTCTTTTTCCAAGATCACCTCTGTAGTCATATCAAAACACTTTTCAGTTTTGCAATTGCATAGGGGCGTCTCCTTTGCATAACGTCCTCTTTTTCGGGGGGACCTCATAGGCTGTTTTATTCCAAACCAAGGGAAGGACACATACTCACTATGCAGACATTCTTCCTTTTACTGGGGGATCTCATTTTGTTCAAATATTCAGTTTCTACTTTATTTAAACTTTTCATGTTTAATTATATTAAGGAGAATTTAGTTGCAAAATGAGATTGATAGAATTTAACTTGGAATTATTTAATTCAAGCTTTCCACGAAGGGCAGCACAACAGCTAGCTCCGGGTCACAAAGACCTGATAGTTGGATCAAGATCCCATTTTTCCCAAATACCGTCTCAGCACTTTCAGTCATTATGGGAATCGCCATTACGTCCTTCTCTGCAGTCTAAGGATCGGCAAATTCCAGCCTATTTTTGAGCGTAGGAGTTTTTACAGTTTTTAAAGATTGTAACAAAACAAAACAAAAACAAGGAAGAATATGAGACAGAGATGGTCTGAGACTCTCAAAGCCTAAAATATTTACTCTTTGGTCCTTTACATAAAGAAGTTCCTATATTATATTCCAAAACCCCCTTACCGGAGCAATTTCAGGAAGTTTATGCTGTTAAGTAATCTCTAAGGCAGTGGTTCTCAATCAGGGGCGACTGTGCCCTGCAGGGGACATTCAGCAATGGTTGGAGACATTTTAGCTCATCACAACCAGGGGTGAGTTGCTACTGGCATCTAGTGGGTGGAGGTCATGGATGCTCTTAAACATCCTCTGTGTGCAGGACAGCCCCATCCAGCAAAGAATTATCTGGGCCCAAATACTGCCTGAAAGGGTTCATGTGTGTATTTCCTTTTGTTCTGCTAGGATTTTTTCATCTGCATTGATTATGTAAAATGAAAAAATGCCAAAGAGAAGTTCACATCCAAAAATCTTATAGAAGTTTGACTGGGGACAAATACTACAACCTGTGAGGAGATGCTCGCTTGGGCAATTGGCCAAAGACCAGATTTTCCAATGTAACCTTCCCCAAGATGCACTTATCTTGCTCTCCCAGAGCTCTGTCCTTTATGGTCTAAATCCCAATGTAGAGGAACCCAGGAAACTGAATACGGTCTAACTGCTTGAATGATAAAGCTGCTGAATTGCTGCTGGCCTTGGGACTTGTCAGAGTGCCCACTGCTGGCAGGCCTGACCCTCAGTCTGTAGCAGCCACCCACCAGGCCGGGCTTCTCCTGACAGTATGTAAGACCCCACTGTGAACAGTGACCTGCCGAGGAGACAGGAGGCCGTGCTCTGTTGCCTAGTCCAGCTGCTTTGCCTTTCTGAACATAAAATGACAAACGAAGAGCTTGCATCCAAAGGACAGGGGATCAAAGACCCTTGGGTTTGGAAGGCACCTTAAAGGTCATCTCCGCAGACACCGGAATGTGCTCTTCGCATCTCAGGGTGCTTTGTCTGGTGACAGGTGCTATGATGCCTTGGGCAGTCCTGTCACTTCGATGAGTTATCCAGGTGGCATGTACTCTTAGAAAAGATTGAGGCCAGGCCTGAAAGGGCAGCATTCGTGCATCTGCTGGACCAGCCAGTTGCCTTTTGCACTTTATTTTTACACTAGGAGCAAAGTAAGGAGAGGGTGAGATCTCGTTTCATTCTCCTTGCATTTCATGGGAGGTGCATCCGAATAATCCAAGTTCAATATCATTCTAGGGTTGTCTGACTTCTAAGCACATGTCATTTGTGTGACTAGTATCCTCCAATGCCCACTCTGTTTGTCTCATTTAGATTTGGGGAGCAATCTTTGACTTTCCCATGTAGATAAGCATTGGGAAAAAACTTTGGGTAAACTTCTAATTTAAACTGAAATTTAAATATAAAGCTGTAGTGTGAGAGGAAGCCCACCTTTTTAATGACTCAGAGTATCTTGACAGATGCCGTATTAGAGTTAGAGATGGATGATTTTTTTTTTTTTTTTAACGAACACAAAGACTGAACCTCTCAGGATTCACCAGACTTACAAACCTCATCCAACAGCTGAGCATTTAACCGGTGACTTCTTGTAATAACTAAGAGAAGGAGAAGTAAGCTAAAAGAAGTTACCTGTTTCCTACCTGAGAGGTTGCAGCATCCCTTGGCGCAGGAGCTAGGGGATCTGATCAGCTCTGACTTTGTGGTATATGCCATCTGGTACCTGACTTTGGGGCTCAGTATGAGCCCCAAGTGATACCTGAGATAGGCTTGAAGCAGACCTTTGAAGTCACCTGCTTGGTAGCACATCACAGCAAGCAGGCCTGTCTGCCGCACTGCCTGTACTGCTGCCGCATGCCCGGAAGGCCACAGAACTTCCGAGGTATTCTGCCAGACTGATTTAATGACCAGCAGGGGAGGTGAGTAATCTCTAACCTTTAAAAGACAAAAACAAAAAGGAAAATCAACACCAGTTGTTATTTCATGTGGGAAGCCCTGAATAATATGTCGCGCCTTCAACTTCCGAAGTCATATTTTGAACGAAAGAAGGCAGTGAGGGGACAGGGAAGTTATATTTATCTTCTTGCTCTCCAGGAAATCCTCTTGAGAATATTGTTTCTGGTGTTTTGAAAGACCCCCATTGTTAGGTCTTCTACTTTAGGTTTCACTTGTGGGCTTCAAGTCCAGAGTCGAGATGAGGACTTGAGTGCAGGCAGTTACCTTGGGGCGTGATATCCAAAAACATCGGTAAGGAAGTGAGGACAGGAAATAGGGAGTGGCAGGAAGCCAGCCAAGGCAGTGTTCTCAAGCCAGTGTCCACTGTGGGCACCCAGGGCTCAGTCTCACTGGGGAACTCTGGGAGACACTGGATAACCTCCATCCAAGTTATCCCAACTGTGGGTGAAGGACCTGGATAATCTTCTCCCAAGCCTCCAGCCATCATTAGTTGATCCGGCTGCAGCCCGGCACAGTAAATAAATCTCTAGCAATTCCAGATGCTGTATGTGTTCCCATAATCAGAATTGTTTTTGTTGTTTTGTTGTT